CCAGTCTTTCCGGATTGCTGGGGAACTGGATACTTGTCACCTTATTGTTGTTTTCACTTGGCCAGAGGTGCGTGGTAGTTGTGTGTGGTTGAGATCGGGCGACCATCCGACGACCGGAACGGCCGTCTCGGGTGCGGTCCCGGTCCTCTCTCGGCTTTGTCGTGGAATTACACCACGTAGTCAGCGACATCGCAAACACCAAGGCTTTCAGTGACTGAGGTTGGATATTAGCGGGCTCTCTCGATGTTTGAGATGGAGCGCCGCCGCCACGACGGCACCGCCCTAGAACCTGGAAATGCCGAGCCGAGGAGATGCTCTTTCCTGGCGTGACTCTGTGTCACTTTGTGAGGGTGTCGATGTGTGCATCTGGGTGTGAGATTCCCTCATCTTACCGGAGATCAAGTCTTGTCGTCGACGATCTCTGGCGCAAGAGGCTGCATATGCTGCAAGAGTTGTCTTGGATTTGGATTTGGATGTCGTTGTCGATTTTGCTTTTGTTCTTATGCACCAAGAGAGGTTGTAACACAGAGCACTGTACTGTACGTACCCAGAGGCAGTGTAACACTGCATCAAAGTGCGAGCCGGGCAGGCGCGTAGGAATGGCAGGAATGGAAGGAGCAAAAGGTACTTTGTGCAAAGTATCTCTTTTCTGGGCTTAGGTAATCTGACGTCTTGTAGGGTACTTGCGTGACTCGACTTTGCAGAGAGCGAGCATTGGAGGCTGGAGCCATGATGAAAAAGTTTTCCCAGTTTCTATTAGTCGTCGATTGTATCCATTACGTTTCCGAACCGCACTTCTTCGCCTCATCTGATCACTTCCCCAAGCCAAGCTTTCCAATTACACAACCACGCAGCAAGTTCAGCTCCCAGGCGGACCCAGGCACCTCAGCTCTGCGCAGCCCTCGGCCCCAGCGTGTGCTGTCACACAGTCACGCTCACACTTCTCCCAGTCTCTTCCCCGTCGTTTTCTGATGTGGAATTGGATCGTCCCTTTTTTCTCTCTTCTATCCGTACCAAGAATCCCGAACCATCATCCATGATCCCTTGGACTCGGTTCTGGGCCCCGGTCTTTTCTCTCTCTCTCTTTTTTTTTTTTTTTTTTTTTTTCTCTCTCTCCTTCTCCAGCAGGATCGAGTGACCGACCACCATCGACCGACTTTGCCTTGCCAGCCGCTCAACTTCCGTACGCTATGGTCGCGGCCCGCCGTGGTCATTTCACCTCCGTTGCCTGACCTTTACATCACCCTTCCTACTCATCGAGCTACCCTCTTCACAACTCGGGATGGCTATGCCTACATCCAGTCAGACAGCGGCCTGTCCGGGGCAAGGTTGGACAAGTAAGGAAGACGAGCATTCCTTGACACATCTTGCGCATCCGTTTAATGACTGAACAAACTCGAGCAATGATGTTATGCTTCAGCTCATTGCCTACTGGCTCAACTCGACACACCCATGACATTCTCATTACCAAATACCCGTCCAATGGTTGGTTGGCTGGCCTGCTTCGTGTCGCCAGCATTTTCTCTCCCTCGCCATCCATTCGTCTCTTTTCCCATCCGGACCTGGTGTTGCTTGACCGGTTCATGTCCCTGGACCTTGGACCTTGACATGGACCACCATACCCGACGGACATCGTCTACCGTCCGTGAGCACGAGGAAGCAAAGCATGTCACCTGGGGGCGGCACGCCAGTACCGCCGTACCGCGCCGTGTCATGTAGGGACAAGGCTCCGCCTCCATCTGGATGAAGCTCTGGATGCTCATGTGACGAGACAAGTCTCCATTCCTTTGTTTCCATTACCCAATTTTTGGCCAAGAGCAACCCTTTGCCTCTTTAACTTGCTATATTAATCTGCGGGCCGCTCACACTCACACACACACGCCCGGCTACTAACGCCCAGTGCAAGCCACTCCTCCGCATGACATTAACGAGACGTCCACAACCCAACCTGCCTCTTGCGATACTGGTTACCTTATTGTACACGCCCAGTCCCAAACTCCCAAGGACCTAAACTCAGCCCATCCAACCCAATATCCTGATCTTGATCCAGCCCAGACGCGATCCGTTGGATGACCCTATCCCAATCCGCCCCTGTCTCTTTGATTCTCACGCCCCGTCTACACCATATACATCTAGTATCTACTTCTCTCTCCCTCTTCCCCCCCAAATATCACCTCAACGATTGCGAAGAGCACGTCTTGTCTTGTGCCACGCACTCCCTTCACCCCCTCGTCTCGAATACTTTCCCCAAGTTCCAACGTTCCCTGGTCTTGGTCTTGGTCTAGTAACATCACAAACGGTTGAGGTTGGACCACCTGAACACGCCAAACCACCATCTTCCCCGCATCACCACAACTTCCTCTTACCTAAAAGCCCCGGTCTTTGACTAATAGAAAAGTCGGTTCTGGCTTGCTCTGTCGACGGACCCGGGCCCCCGGTCTCGTCTTTCCTACATTGTAGCTCACCCTTTTTACGCTTTGCCGTACGACTACCTAGTCTCTTTCTACCCTACCCCGGCTTGTTCAGAAAGAAGGAAAAAACCAAGACAGTGGAGAAAACGTGTGTGCGTTTGGTGGTGTGTCGTGCAAACCATTGAAACAACGAGCGCAGCGACCCGGACCTTCAAGGTCAAAGTAAAGTTCTTGCAGCCATGGCTTCTCCGCGACTTCTCCAACCGCAAACCTCGTCCCAGGACCACACCTTTCACACCCCCCCAGGCACTCCTCCGACAGGCCACAACAACCCTCAGACTTTGATCGAATACAAAATGGACAGCCCAGAGCCGCACCGACCTGCTACCCCAGAAAAGAATGGCAGGTCCTCTTTCTCGTCCATTCGCGAGAACGACTCCGATTTAGCCCAGACGTTCACCTCCTCCAAGGTCTCTTCCTACGCTCAGAAAGCAACCAACGCCGTGTTCGACGACTCCTCTGCCTCACCCTCGCCGATCGCCTCACCTTCCCTCGAGATGACTGAAGTCCAGTTCATGCCCCCCGTCACCCACCCCAGCAGCAGACTTCACGGCGGCTGGTATCCTGCCTCCAGCTTCAAGGGATGGAAGCAAATCAATGTCAAGGGCAAGACAGCCAGCAAGAGCTTCAGTGACCTCCAGGCATTGCACATGTCATGGAGCACTCCTCCGCCTTCACCCAAGGGCAACAAGCCTGTTAACTGCCGCGCGCCCATGGAAAGACTGCCCCTGGAGATTCTGGGTAAGTTTACCGTCTTCTGTCATGGAACCTGACGAAGCTAATCATGTCACAGGATCAATTATTGAGCTTCTCGTCCTCGACATCCCTCCGCCGTACGGCACTGCGCGCCGCAACGTCGACTTGATGTCCTTGCTTCTGACTTCGAGATCAGTACACGCCGCGACCCTCAACACATTGTACAAGCACATCACTATTCCTCACTCGAGAATCTTCCGCAAGTTCCTCTCCAACATCACAACACACCCTGCACTGGGCACCATTGTACGGCGCATCGACTTTAGTCACTTTAACAACGCGACCCTCTTCGAGTCCGCCAGCGAGCGCAAGGGCACGCGTAACCTGACGGAGGAGACATTGTTGCAATGCTTGGAGCTTACACCGCATCTCCAAGAGTTCCTGGCTATGGAGCACATTGACGATGACCTCGGCGCCGAGGTGCTGCAAAAGCTCTTCTTCGGCATGCCTCGCCTGCAGGCATTGGACTTTGCCGGGTGCACATCGCCGTCTTTCAAGAACTCTTTTGCATCTCTGGTAGACATGGAATGGCCCGAGGCGCTTTCGATCACGCGCCTCTCGCTTCACAAGTGCCTGACACTTCCTCCCGCACTATTCGAGAAGATCATGCCACGCCTCACCAACGTCACGCACCTGGACCTTGCCCAGACCAAGATCACTGACCGAGCACTGCAAGCTATTCCGAAGACGGCCAAGATTACCCACTTGAACCTCGCCAAGTGCACACTGCTTACGGCGCCTACCGTTATCAACTTCCTTGCGACTCATCCGGCGGTCAGGAACCTCGTCTACCTGAGCGTAGCCACCGATGCTCGGAGTCATCAGCTCCTGGATGTGGATGATGTTTCGCAGCTCATCCCTTTGCTGCCCAAGACGCTCCGGTCTTTGAGCCTAAAGGGTAGCCGCATGGATGACTCGCACCTCGAGCTGCTGCGACCGCTGACCAAGTATCTGGAGGAGCTCGCCGTCGGGCGCGACATGGATGTCAATGCCGCCGCTAAGCTGCTTGAGCCGGCGGACGAGAAGAAGCAGGAGGAGCCCCACATGATCCGATACCTGGACCTTTCGGACCTCTGGGGCAGCGAGTTGGATATCGTTGATTTGTTTTCCAGCCGAAACTCGCTGCTAAAACCGAGCTCGGTGCCACTCGAGGTGGTTGAGATCTCGGAGCAATCTTTCAAGAGCCTATCTCGGAATAGGGCATTGGAGCGCGTCGGCTGGTCCCTGCAGGAGATCGGAAGCCGATGCTGGATGGTCCGAATGCAGGACCACCGCAAGGATCAGGACCGCGGCTACCGGTGGTGGAAGATTGGCGCCGACAACTGGGGCATGCGCAAGATCCCGGTCGCACGCGCCGAAGTCGGCGGCATGTACGGGTCCTTCATGTTTGGACGCAAGCTATGAATCACATGCACATCGCAGCATCGCATGGGAAATCCGAAAAATAAGGGAGAATGGGGAAAGGGAAAGCATCTGCATTTGAATGCATCGACCGAAAAACAAGCGACCAGCATTATCAGCATTTGATTCCCTCGCCTTAGCCTTGGCCTTGGTATTTGTTGTTTTCCATTTTTTATTTTTTTCGCTGTTTTTTTTTTTTTCTTCACTCATCGGGCGGAGTCGGGATACCAAATCCAAAAAAGTGCATTTGTCTTTCGGAGTGGGAAATGGTCAACGATACTCGGAGCTGGCGCGGGTTAAAAAAGGCCAAAAGATGGTAAAAAGAAGCAGCATTTGACGGCCTCTGCAAGCAAGAGAACAGCATCAGCGACGATGAATGACTTGGCTTTTGATGTACGTTAATGAAACGAATAGCATAATATCTAATATTTATGCTACGATACTTTGTAGACCATTGTTTCTCTCTAACCTAACGGTGACTCTTGAGTTGTTGGTGACCTTTTTCTCCAACATTTGTTGCTATCGCTATCGCTGTCGCAAATAATGACTGGTAAACAAGAAGCTCTCGGCGTACCTGCAGTGGCTACATCATCGTGCCGTCACAGCGAACGACCAAGGTCAGCATACCCCTGCACCGGAATGCGCTCCTAACTTCTGTCGCCTGGAAAATCTCATCTTAGGTAAGCCGGATCTGCTCTTGGCAGAAAGTTAACTCATCTTTTCCCTCTCATACCGTGGCCTCGGTGCAGCCTTACGCGCTGACCCTGTCCTCGAACTATCAACCTCCAAAAAAAAAAAGAACACTTGTCAGCCTCGAGCCCCAAGTAAGGTACAGAATCTCGACCTTTTTCCTCTTTCTCGAGAAGCTTCCTCGACCTGATACTTGGACGCATCACGCTGAAGCGCTTGCTTGATAGCAAGTCGCCGTCGTCGTTGGCCCGTCATGGCATTTGGCTGGTCAGAGTGAGTAGCCACATGTCCCACCACCCACACGTACCCCATACCCCAAGCTACATCATCGCCAAATTCGCGACATCACCACCAACGTCCGTCAACACGATTCAAAAAAAAAACTAAAAAAAAACTAACCGCACAACTCTTCCACCACTACAGAATCCGCTCTCTCCTCCTCGTCTTCGGTCCGATCCTCCTCCCCAAGGCAATCGCAGCCTACAAATCCATCCGCAATGCCTCCCAACACAGCGGCGAACCGATCCCCCCTCCGCCCCGCATAGCCCGCGCCCTCGCCATCCTCGCCATCATCGTCGTCGTCTACCTCGTCAAGACCCTCCCGCCCCTGGCCCCGGAGAACCTCTTTACCCTCACCCAGTCCCGCCTCCAGATCCCCGTCGATGTCCTCTTCAACCGCCTGTCCTCCCTCCGCCCGGAATCCGCCCTCACCGCCGCCGACGAGCGCCTCCGCGCCCGCTTTGTCAACCTCGAGTCCCGCCTCCTCTACCTCCAGCTCGGCCCCGCCGCCCTCGCAGACTGCCCCTTTTGCAAGTCCGAGGACCCCAAATCCTACTTTTACTACGCGCTTCCCGCCATCATCCTCCCCCACCTCGTCAATCTCATCGCCCTCGCCGCCGTCACCTCCTCCACCTTCACCGGCCGCGATGGCGCCCGCTGGCGCTCCCACGCGACAATGGCCGCCGCCGCCCTCGCCGCAGCGGACGCAGTCCTCGTAGGCCAGTATGACTACTCCGCCAACGCCTCCGCCCTCCGCCTCCAAGACATGGACTTCTTCTACTGGCACGCCCGCGCGCTGCGCTACATCGCCCTCGCGGCCCTGGACGTCAGCATCGGCGCCCTCTTATTCCTCTCGGGTACCCGCCGCGCTTTCGTCCTGCCGCCCTCGGAAGCCGAGCGCATCGAGGCGAGCAACCGCGCCCTGACGACGGTCAAGAGCAAGCTCAGCGCGCTGGGCATCGTCAAGAACACGACGTTGCGCGACGAGGAGCTACGGGCGCGGAGTCAGGCGTACTGGCTGCGCGAGGGCCAGATGGTGCGCGAGGCCATGGAGGAGAGGGAGGTTGTCGAGAGCGTCAACGACGCGCTGGAGAATAGGATTAATATACAGCAGGTCACGAGCGATGCTGAGAACTATACCGAGGGTGTGTTTAGACAGCCGGAAGGGACTGCGCAATGAGCGGCGTGGTCGTGTTTCCACTGAGTTGGAAGCCTCGAGTTGATGTAGCATGTGTATAGATGGGCATTGCAGCTTCTTATACAGAGAATAAAGAAAGAGAGCATACACTTATGACTTGGTTGAGAACTGGGGGGTGTGAGGTGTGCGCGAACTGGAAGAGAAAAAGCAAGGTCTGGTCTTTGAATCGCCCCTTGGGCTCGTAATCCGTTGCAAATAGTATTTCCATGAGCCTTCCCCTCCCAGCCTGTCTTTCCCTAATTCTCATCATATCCCTGGTACTCGTCTTCTGCCATGGTAATCCAAGACCGTTCCTGTTCCCTCGATCCCTCTGAATATACGCGAGAAATACAACAGGCACTGTCCTCAAGATAGGCAGGTACGGTGACCTGGAAAGGCATGTAAACGCGTGCCGGGACCGTACCGACCAAGCCATTCATCCGATAACTTTCCCGCCACCCGATACACACTGCAGGAAGCCTATATGGACCCCCTCAAGTCCATTCCAGTTACCAGCCAGGAGGCGCCCGTTTAGGTCGACGGGGCAGGTCAAACTGGCTGGGTGGCGGAGTGGTTAATGGTCAACAATCAATCACACCAACCAGCCTACTCGACGACAGGCTTAGCGAGAGTACCCGAGTCCGAATCCCAGCATGAGCACCCAAGAGATGTAGCCACACCGGTGGTGAACTCCTTTTTTTTCCAAGGTCTTCTTCATATCTATGACTTGTTTTTAGTTTCGTTTGGGGAAGTGTAAGTGTAAGTGGATGGTCGACCGCACACACACACACACGTCCACCCATCTCGGGAGAGGTACCCAACAATAATGGTCTTTAACCTCCCCCCGCTATGCTCTGTAGGCTGGCAGAAATGAATACATTGGGGTTCGCCGCCTCTACACCTCTCTAACAACGTCAAAAAAAAAACATCTTACGTAGTCCACGACGACCTCCACTAACTGCCGCCCCGTCCCGTCGCCGCGCTGCTCCCGCTATCCTTGCGATCGCGCGGGGTGCCCGCCGAGGAGCCCTGATCCAGGCCCTCCTCGGCGCTGCGCTCCAGGAAGCCCGCCCATAGGTCCGCGAGGGACTCCTTGTTCGCCGAGGTGGGCGTCTCGGAGAAGAATTCTGCGCTCAGGGACGGGGTGCTGGGCGTGCGGTGGAAGGGCGAGGGTGGTAGGCGGAGAATGTTGGTCGAGGTGCCTGGCCTGGCGAGCCCGGCCTGCTCGCGCTGCTCGTCTGTCCAGTTGAGGTAACCGGCCATGACTTGCAGAATCTGGAAGCGCTTGGGGTCGGAGCGGTCTGTAGTGAGGAAGTGGATGAGGTGGTTCGTCACGACTTGTCTGGGGAGGATGTTAGTTGGTCTCTGATTCATCGTGAACAGGAAAGGGAACAATACCTGTCAACGTTGTCCTCTGGTTTTGTCTTCTTCAGGTAGCGGAGAGCCTTGGTGAGATGATCGTTGAGCACAATGGCCTCGTGCCGCAGCTTGCCAATCAAGAGGTTCTTCTCCTTGACCTCCTTTTCGAACGGCGCTGTGCGCTCGAGCTCCTTCGTCAGGTTTTCCTTGGCCGATTCGGCCTCAGTAGCCCTAGTATCCGCTTCCTGCACAAGCTTCTTCATGGCTTGCAGTTGCTCCTCTGACGTTTCGACCATCTCCCGCAGCTCCTTCTTCCGCGCATCCTGGATCTCGCGCAGAGCCTTTTGCAGATTGTCAATGACCTGCGACTGGTGATCTCGTTCGGATGCGGCGCTCTCGTAGCCGTCCCGGAGATTGGCAATCTGCTCCTCCAGCTCCGTCACCTTCTCGACTAGGCTCTCCTTTACGGATCGCTCCTCCATGGCGATGACCTCCCACTCGCCCATGGCGTTCGTCGTCGTCTCGACTTCTTCCTTAAGGTTGGCAACCAGCCTCATCAGCTCCTCGCGCTCCTTGACCCAGTTTTGCTGGGACAGGTTGCTTCGGCTGCGCAGACTCGTCGCCTCGCGTGACGTATCCTGCAGCTCGTCCCGGAGCTTCGCTACCTCTTCCTCAGAGGCCTTGGTGCCATTCTGCAGCTCCTCATTCTGGGACTCGAGCTCCTCGATCCGCTCCTTAGCCTCTTCCAGCTCGGCGCGGTCGCGCTTCAGTCTCTCGCCGAGCGTCGACTTTAGGTGGTTGACTCGCTCGAGGAGACCCTGGTAGCTCTCCTCTGCCTGTTCCTTGGCCGATGACGTCTCCTCCAGTTCCGACTTGAGCTGGGTGACGGTCTCATTATGTGTTCCCTGGATTGTCTCCAGCTGCTTCCTCAATTGTTCAACCTCTGATCGCAGCGCCTCTCGTTCCTTTGTGAGGGCGTCCAGCTTTGCCGTGGCATCGGGGCTGGTTCCCTGCTCTTCTGCGGCCGCCTCTGTCGGGGGGTTCGCATGTCCGTTGCTCGTCGGCCGTTCCGTGTGGCCATTGGCTGTTGTGTCCTTATCCGTCGACTGTTCGGGACTGGATTCTTCTATGGGCGCAGAAGCCTACGACGGCAGTCAGACATTGTGAGCTTTGCAGGTTGCGGGAGGGAGGGCGGGGGGTTCAAGGGAGTATCACCTGCACCGGGGTTTCCGGTTCATCATCGCCCTCCTCTGCATTGTCGGGCGCAGGAGGCGCGCTGTCTGTCTCTATGGGTTCCTTGGGTTTGTTGGCGTTCTTCTTCTTCTTGCCGCTCTTCTTCTTCCCTGCAAGGTGCCCCGTTAGCCTGTCGCCGCGCATGTGTACACTTGGGAAGTGTTTCAATCGGGCCACGAACCTGAAGATGCGTTTTGAATCGGATCAGTGGAGGGAGCGGCGGCCGACATGTTGTCTTCTCAGATGCATCGGGAGGTGTGGATAGCCCTTTGAGCTGGTGGGCGCGGAACGGGGAAAGCTCTATTTCTTCTTCGTCTCGAGGGTCCGGTCGGTTGGGAATTGGGATGTCGACAGTTTGCACCTGGGCGGGTTTGCATGCACTTACACCACGTAAGCTAGGTTCGCAAATTAGCGAGCGTGTTCACTTCCAATTCCCACGCGGAACCTAGGGTGCTGCTCCCCCGTCCCCCACACTAGGTAGGTGGCCATGGAAGCTGTAGCCCCACAAAAAGTGTACCGATAGCGAGGTGTATTAGCTAAGGCCTGCTGGACATGGCGCTTAAACGCTGCGAACCGCTGAACCAGGAAGTGAACAAGGTCATGGTCAAGAGGGCTGTGGTTCTGGCCTATAGACTGATCATGTTGCCATTGGCAAATCCAGATTCTATTTCTTTATTCTTTTTTGACGAGATGGAGGAGAAATGCACAGTTTTCAAATGCTGCCTTTCACTATGGTTTACTATGAGCACAGAATCGTTACATGAAACGGCGGCCCTAGCAGGTAGTCAAGTGACTAACACGAGTCACACTCTGAGGATTCACACTCTCAATGGCTCGACTTGATCTCAGGCATTGGTTATTTACCAATGCCCGAAAATCCAAGGATCGAGGCAAGTATCCATGTGGCACCATACCTGGAATATGACACCTCAATAGCTTGTTTGTTTTATAAACTGCATCTATGAAGACGGCCGACTGGCGCAAGTCCGTCCACGGTTCATTCAGTGCGGCTACACCTGAGCAGATGGCGGGTCCCTTGCTTAGTCATCTTTATCTTATCGGCCAAAGCCTTCAAGAAGCGACTCCGTTTGACGGAAATTTTCCCGTTTCCTCTTTCCTTCTTCACATATTTTACCCTTCGCTGAAATATCACTAGAGCAAGCGCATTTTCCCCAATGACTTGTTCATTTTTGACGCTGAAGTAGAGTGATGAAAACGCCTTTTATAATCCCGGTGCTTGCCCCCAACTTTTGGGTTGAAAATGGGTGCGACGGGTTCGCTATGTGCGCACATACTAACTTGAAATCTTTTGAATTATGTCCCCTTGTTTTATTCTCGATGCAACGACTCCTGGGTGAACAGAGAAACGCAGTAGAATACCTGATGCAAAAAACCAAGACTTTTTTCGTGAAACCCCACAAAGATGAGAGAAACAGTTCCGTCGTAACGAGGGATATCATTAAAACAAAAAAGGAGCTTCCTTTTAACCTCTGGACTTTCTCCTCTTGCCGCCCTTAGCCGCCGCCTTCTTCGCAGACTTGGGCGTCTCAACCTCGGCGACCTTCTCCTCCACCTCCTTGGCGGCCTCCTCCTCAACAGCCTTCTTCTCCTCAACCGGCGCAGCAGCCTCAATAGCCTTGGTCTCCTCGGGCGCGTCAACAGCCATGGGCTCAGGCGGCGGCGCAACAGCCTCCTTCAACTTGGGCGCCTCAAACTCGTACCCAATCGCCTTGAGCTTCTCGGCGCGCTCCAGCCTCTTCTTCTCCTCCTTGGACACCTTGTGCGACCACCCGGACTCGGTCCTCGGCTTCGCCACCTCGCCGGCGGCAATCTTGTGCCAGGGGATCTTCTTGAAGCGCTTGTTGGCGCCCTTCCACACGTCCTCGTGCAGCTGGTCCGCCGGCACCGTCTTGACCTTCAGGATGTGGCCGAACAGCAGGTAGCTGTCCATGGTCTTGGCGACGATCTCGGCCGTGCTGGCCTCGGCGAACTCGAGAAAGGCGTAGTGCTTGCTCGCGCCGGACTTCTTGTTGCGCGCCAGACGGAGGCGGGTGATGTTGCCAAACTGTGAAAAGTAGCCCTTGAGCTCGTGCTCGTAGAAGCCGTGGGGCAGTCTGGAGATGAAGACCACGCCGGGCTCTTCCTTTTTGCCGTTTGTCAACTGCTTCTGCTTCTTGAACTTGGGCACCTTGCCGACATCCTGGCCCTCCTTGAAGGTTCCCTTGCCGGCCGGCGCGTCCTCTGGGTCGAGGCCGGCGGCGAGGGCGGCAATGTCGGCGTCGACTTCCTCGTCGTCCTCATCGTCCTCGAAAGCTACGACAGAGGTCTCGGCATCCTCGGTGGCTTCGGGCTCGGCCTCCTTCTCCTCCTCCTCCTCGACGGGCTCGGGTGCGGGGGCAGACTTCTTCGACTTCGCGTTCGCCTTTGCGGGCTTCTGTTTCTTCGCCGCGACGGGAGAAGCTTGCGCCTCCTCGGGAGCTGCTCAGAGCATCTTGGTAAGTCAATGCAACATTGTAGCAATCCCATCGGAACATACCTTTGCGCTTGGGGGTCTTCTCGACCTTCTCCTCCTTGGTGGCCTTCTTGGTCACCTTCTTGGGGGCCTTTTCAGTTGCAGGCTCGACCTTTTCAACCTTTTCGACCTTGGCCGCCTTCTTCGCCACAGGCTCCTTGCCAGTGACGGCTAATGACAATCATTAGGTCATGAAAAAAAAGTGTTATACAGCTTGTCAACTTACATCTGGTTCTTTTTCTCAATTCGGGGGCCATTTTTGCTGATGTGTTTGGGGAGCAATGGTTAAACAAGTCCCTAGAAAACCGAACCTGTACCCACACACCTGGTGGTCGAGTACCGTCGCAAAAGGCAAAAAAATAAAAATTTCCCAGATTCTGCCGTCCCGAGGTGGAGGCGGTGAGTTCATGCGACCCCGCTAAGCCCGCTAAGTGTGTGCACCCAGCCGCCCCAGAAGCAACGTTTTAGTGGGGGCCTTCATGCTGTATGGGCACCCGGGGCACCGTCCTTGAGTAGCGTTGCGGCACTGCGCGGTGAACTACCCTCTGTTGTTTACCAAGCTGAGGTGCCTTTGATTCCCTGAAAAAGGAACGCTCAAGGTCTGGAAATCCGTCAGTGAGGTTGGTGCGCAACTACAACAACGACACCTCAGGCTGGGATCTCATAAGGGCACTCTCATCTAATCATCTCACAACCAGATTGACTTTGTCTTGACGACTCCTTAAGAACATCACCCGACCGCCTGTTCACCACAATCGAGTCTCATAATTAAGACAGAATAGTTCAAACAACGACAAGCACAGCGCTCCTCGCTTGCCATATCGCCAAAACGCATCGCAAAACTCGAGATATCTCGTCAGGTTTCTATCAGCATACCTTGAGAGCCACCAAGACCTCTCATATTCCACAGGTTGATTGAGGAGCTAAAAGCTTCTGAAACCAAACTCCTTCATTCTTATCGAGAAGAAACGCCGTCCTTACCTCTGGCGCCAACTTCACACCAAGTAAACCCAGAGAGGTCATACTCATACACCGCCTCATCAGCGTCCATTGTCGTCAGGAACGCACCATCCCCTCCAAAAAAGCTCGCCTCAATCCAGCAACATGGCCGGCAACGATGTAGAAATGTCGCACAATGAGATGTGGGATGACTCTGCGCTGATAGAATCATGGAACGAGGCCCTGGACGAGTACAAAGTAAGCGACAGACTCATTCATCTCAGGAGAGGGAAGAGAGGATAACAATCCTCGTGAGAGTAGAGTAGTTACTAACCAAACCCGGCAGAAGTATCACAGCATCCACGCAAAGGGAGGAAAGCTCAAGGACCTTGATCTTCAGGAGAAGACGGAAGAAACCCAGTACGGCCAAGCCTTCTTTCTTTAAACACCCCCAAGAACTCTTTTCCGAGACTCTGACACGTTAATGATCTACGTAGGACCGTCGACGACGCGCAAACGCAGGCCGTCGATCAGCCAGAGATCGCGGATGATGCTGCAGAGGGAACCGACAAAACAAAGGGGTTGAGCAGCGCGGATGTAAAACACCCCCCGATGATGAACCCCCCCCCTCCCCTCCCCAGATGAAAATCCAGGCAGATCAAAAAAGCTTGGCTTTTTCTTTCTCTGCCTCGTCGTTATGCAGCAATCTCAATCTTGTTCGCTTCCGCTAACGTCTACCTTGCTTGTCCCGATCTAGGTCCAGGACCAGGCAGATTCAACAAGTGCGCCGCCTATGGCAAAGGCTAATGGCCCCCCAGGGCCTGTGACAATGGGCCCACAGAGTCTTCTCGGATCAGGTATGTAAACGATCCCGGGCTATCCAGAGTTGGGACGGCAGTTGCAAAGTAGCCTTGTTGGACTTGGACACCGAAACTGACTGAGAAACCCCTCTCTTCGGGTTTGTAGTGCAAGATGAGGGCTTGAAGAGACTTTTGATGTCGTGGTACTATGCCGGCTACTACACGGGATTGTACGAAGGCCAGCAACAGCAACAGCAGCAGCAATAGTAGGGATTAGACAGATGTCAAAGTAGATACCGCGAGCCAATCGATACCAGCGAGAGAGCCGCTGCAAGTGCGACAACGAGGCTGAGCGGACCCCTTGAGCCTGGCCGCCTGGGACACGCCAAATGCAAGGTTGTGTGGGGAATGGGGTGAGGTTGGTCGTCCTGAAAAGCGGCTACTAGAGAGTTTATCTGATCGACGTGCGGGAGGGCGAGTTCTGTAACACGATCTGTTCCATCGTCCGATGATGCAACGGCGCCACACCGTTCCTTGTCTGAGGTTCGCCGTGGCATGTGTCACACGAACGACAGGAGCAGCAAGTTCTCAGTCAGCAGCCTCTTGATTCGTCTTTCTATCCCGTTGTGTGCTTGGCTCTTGAGACGGGGGAATTTAGGATGCGGTCCAAGTCGGGGTCGGGCGAACTTGGCCTGGCGGCTCCAATAAAATCCTCGTGACTGCGGTAGAAGGGAAAAAAAAACGTTAGTGTGATCTCGTCGGCTATCCAAGAGTTCGTTTTGTTTCACCGTGGAAGGGTCTAGGCTTGGTTGTTTCTCCCCCTTCCGCTCCGATAGTGAAAGCCCCAGCAAAATGCGAGTCGAGTACTGTTTTTTTCTCGTCATCGCGCCGATGCAACTTGGGCAGATAACGACGCAATGTGCGGCGACCAGACCAGTCCTTGAACAGAGATTCCTAGCAAGGCCGCCGCACCACGGGCGGGTATACAAGAGATGACACTCGTTAGTGCAGGTCAGCCAAGAGGTCTTGGGTATGATGAAGGCGGCCTAAGGGGATTTAGTTGAGATGACTCTCTGTAGGGTTGCGATCGGAAACAAGTCGAGAGGTATTGGATGGAAACGTGGAGTTGCAATGTTCCACCGATCCGCGGCCTCGACAATTCAAGAGTCAAGACCCATTCGAGACTCGCTTATTGTCCTGGATCGACTGCTTTAGTTTTGGTGGATTTGTTTCCCCTGTCGGTGAATTAGGTATCGCTCGAGAATTTGCATGAGCGCGATGCATCAGTTGTTCATGTCAGATAGGCGCTTTCCTGAGCCGCTCTATCCAGAAGGTTTACACAATGAGCGTGGAGATCCTCCGGTCCGGAGTCATGTTGCAGAGGACGGACGTCCATCCTAAAGTGAAGATGCAGTGGATAACATGGCCCGGGTACGACGGATGGGATTCATGGGATTAGGTTGAGCTTGACAGGAGGCCGATACCCTCGTTCGGCCCATGCCCGAGCAGGCTGGCGATGCGCTGCATACGTCAGGCTGACCGAGCCACTAAGCAGCGAGCACAGGCAGACCGCAGACCGAGATGGATCTTGACATGACAGATATCAACGGATGGAAGACTGGGCTAAGTGTTGTACTGTGCACAGTCGGTCTCCTTGCGACTCGGACCAAGAAATTACGGGATGATGGTATGATGGCGGTGCTGGAAGGAGAATAAGCCGATGTCTAGCGTCGTCGATGGACCTGTGTCAAGACAAGGCTGATGGTTGCACTAAAGGGCTATATGAGCAGATAGTGTAGGAGCAGTCGGTTAGGGTGAATGCTGATGCTTGTTGTACAAGAACAGGGCACATGGATGTATTTGTGGTTGTCTTGGAAGTTGGGATCATGGATGGGACGGAGGGTCGGTGGTGGGCGTAGCAGTGTGTGGCGGCTGACAATGGCGGGTGAGATGAGCAAAGTTGGTTGGAGGACTGGATGACGGCGAGATTGGATTGGGCCGTGTCTTCTCTGAATGGTTGAGTTTGGTGTCTGTGTGTGTGGGTTATCTTGCAACAGAAAAGTCTTGGACGAGCCTTGGTGTGTGGACCGGGAAGAGAGTTGCCCGTGACCAGATCAGAGAGAGAGAAAGACACGATGGAAAAAGAGGGTAGGTACGAAGGCGGAGGGGGGAAAGGGGAGAGGGGGCTTGTTTCAAAGTCTTCATTGGCTGTTTGAGGCGGCTGCACGCCCGGCATCAAGGTGCTTGGTGACGCTGGCACGCCTGGCACGCCTGGTTTCTCGCGATGCCTTGCTATCCGTGCCGACTCATGCCGGGATTGCGGGCAGATGGGGAGAAGACCGCTTGGTGAGCCAAAGAAGCCGAAAACCGAGATGGTGCGGGATGATGGCGTTACAACTTGCACAGCGATATCCGTCCACGAAAGGATGGAGAGACAAGAGGTACTCCATAAGGTAGGTAGTCGGGAGGGGCCAGGCTAACGGGGAATGTACCTTGGCACGTGTGAAGACGATGGGACCTGCCTGGCCTGGTTCCCGGTATTTGACGTGTCCGAGTATGTAAGCCAAATTCTGTCCAGCAGCAGTAAGTCTTTTTTTCGAGGAAGTTGAACCTGTCGAGAGACAAGTAGAGATACGTATATTTTGAAGGTGACAGCGCTAGAAACGGGTTTGTGCCTGACACTGGGAAGGGGTGGAGGGCTACACAGTACCTACCTACCCTACCTTGAACTTGGAAAAGGTATAAGGTTGATGGGTAGAGTTGTATTGTGTCTCGGTACCTGCAGGAACGGTGTGCCAGATGAGGAACTCGCCAACACTCGGGATGCAGAAAAGAGGAAGGAAAAGTGGGAAACGGGTGAGGAAAGTGGAGGGGAAGAGTTGAGCAGGTGGGGACGCCATCCCGTGGCTCCGGCAGCTAAAATGTCTTGTCAGGGGGGCATTTTGACGGTCCAACCACCTTAATTGGCTGCATTAAGGTTTAGCACCCTCCGAGACAGCGGGAGGGTTAATTTGCGTAGGGTACAGATAATGAAGAACTTTGGGGGAAGGAAGAGACAAGCCTTGGGGCAAGCAATTCGGGCAATTCTGGTAATTTGGGGCACTTGGGGCACTTGGGGCACTTGGGGCACTTGGGGGAGGAGGGTCTTGCTGAGATCGATTAATCTATCTCTCTACCTTATCTGCTCGGACTTGAGTTCGTCAAACTACACACCAATTGTCACGATCGCTTTCGGAATTATCGGCAACCTCTTGACGTTCACAACTATCACCAACGTAGGTACTGCTTCCATGCCATTTTCTCCGTCGAGAGGCCTCCCCTTTCTCGGCCATGCCCAGCATAACTCGTGGTATCCTCCCATCGTACGGATACTCTGTATGCAAAAGAGACGTCGTCCAGGGTCCGAGCGAGTGCCGTGTTCGGAATAACGGCCAGGGGGGGCCACTTAGCGAGATGCCAAAACACGACTCGAGACGATTCTGTCACAGCTCCCGCCTCCTCGACCGCACACTGCTCCTTCGTAGCGCTAGCGCAACTGCGTGCCGTCTCAACCAACGTGCCAGCTCAACCGAAGCTGTCTGTCATGGCATCCGACTTTTCCATCCTTTCCCCTTCCGAGTTCCTCGCCATTCCTTCCCGCGTACCACCCACATTACAGGGCCTCATTCACTAATCACTCTCATAGATCACTGAGGTGCCGAGTTTCTGGCGAGAGTCAAGGTTACTCTCGCACTCGCTCATTCTACCCCTACGGCTACCCATTATACCCAGCAGCAGCATCCCGGTCGAGTGACTTCACCAAGTCCGCTCCGTGAAAGCTGCGAGACGAGACAAGACAGCCCACCTCCCTGCTGATGGCACACCAAGCTTCTCACTTGCTCTGCTGCGGCTCCGTTGGCAGCATCATCGTCGTCTCTACTATCCCTGCCGCTGTCTCCTCGTTCCCGTTCGTGCGTTGAGCGCCTCTCTCCCTCTCTCTGTCGTCTATCGTCTCTCCGTCATCCATCCGTTCGCAGCACACACACCCCTGCTTCCTGTTCCTGTTCCTGTTCCTCTCAACCCTGACCCTTACTACCCCTACTACTACCGTCTACTTCGTACCACCACGCACTCTCCACCCATCTCGTCTTGGCTTTTTTGTTCTTAATTTGCTCCAAGCTTGGGATGGCAATGCCGCCGTGGGCCTGTGCTTCGTGTGCTTAATCGGACGCTGCATCCCCGAGCAACGAACCGCCCAAAGACACATCGTCTTACACGCACCAGACCCCTGCTCCATCTCCATCCTCCTTGCCTCTCCCCTCCTCCACCCCCCCCTTCTGCAGAATCCTGCACAGTAAGGACCCCCGGAGGCGTTGCTTGGCTGCGCTTGGCTTGCATGACCGGGGTCCAAAGTGCTTGGTGCCTTTCCAACACTTCCCAAGGACGGGCTGGCGGAAGATTTTCTCGTCCTGTTTCGTCGAGGTCGATGTTGCGGCCGGGAAGGGGCTATCCCATGCCATGCCATGCCATGCCATGCCCTGCTATGTCCATACCGTAGACCATTTGTCCCTACCTTAGTATTCCACTCACACTCAAAGTACCTTGGCCCATGACATGGGATAACGAACCGATAATGCGACGTGGCTCGCGCTCCTCATGCCAACCGAGTCTTGCTCGATTTAAGCTCTCCTCCTCCCCCCTCATCCTCGCCGTCAGAGAGGTTTCTGTTTCTTCTTCTCCATCTCTTCTTCATCCGCCTGTCTTCACTCATTCCCTGTGTGACTTTCGTTCTCTTTTCGGTTCCGTGTTCACTCTTCTTCGTCACGAGCAGGCCCTCGCCATTAAAGCCATCCAGCTATATCTAAACCCTTTTATTCCTTTCGACTTTCTAGCCGGGCTCTAGCAGTCTCGCCAACACCAAATCTTCCGAGAAGAGAAAAAAGAGAAAAGAGGAGGCAACGACAGTCGCATCATCCTCGACAAACGAAAAGAAAAGGTCACCCTAATCGATACCGACGACATCACTTAACACAGTCAATATGAAGTTCTCCGCAGTGTTAGCTCTCTCCGCCGCCGTCATGGCCTCTGCCAAGTCGGTCCGCAACCACTACCCTGTCCGCAGAGATGGCCACAAGAAGGGAGAAAAGGGACAGGCTCAAGCTGGACAAATCGCTGGTCTCCCCGCAGGCATGACCGGGTTCGGAGTCTCCAACAGCCAGGTCACCGAGGTCATTATCATTTGGGCGAACCCGGGTGCCGGAGCCCCTACGATCAACATCAACCCCCCCGCCGGTGGTGCCGCCGCCCCTCCCGCTGCTGCTCCTCCTGCCGCTCCTGCCGCTCCTCCCGCCGCGCCCCCGGCCGCTCCCCCGGCTGCTCAGCAAACTCACAATGTAAGTAACACAAGTCAGATTTGGCACTAAGCGAAATCATCAGAACTAACACGTACACCCAGGTCATGGTCGGCGGTGCCGCTGGTCTCGTCTTCGTTCCCGATCAGATCAAGGCCAACGTTGGCGACATGGTTGTCTTCACCTTCATGAGCCAGAACCACACTGCTACCCAGTCCGCCTTCGCCACGCCCTGCGACCCCTTGGCTGGTGGCATGAACTCCGGCTTCATGGCCAACCCCAACAACTCCGTCAGCCCCCCTCCCCAGGTCGCCATGCAAGTTATGGTCTCTGAGCCTTTGTGTAAGTCCTTTCGTGCTCCGGTTTGTGCCACTTTTACTAACACACGTTTCCAGGGTTCTACTGCGCCCAGGCCAACCACTGCGGAAAGGGCATGACCTTCTCCATCAACCCCACTGCCGCGAAGACTCAGGCCATGTTCCAGTCGATGGCCATTGCCCAGAAGGGCCAGGGTGCCGGCGGCGCCATCACCGGAGGCACTCCCCCCGCTGCTGCTCCCGCCGCTCCCGCCGCCTCTGCCCCTGCCGCCGCCCCCCCTGCCGCCGCTCCTGCTGCGCCTGCCGCGCCTGCCGCGCCTGCTGCCGGTGGCGAGATCCAGCAGGGCACTGGACAGATCAACGGCAACGGTGCTTGCGTATGCTCCGTCACCTGCTCTTCAGGATCCTTCCCCGCAGTCGGAGCACAAGGCGTCGGCTCTTTCGGCGGCATGGCAGGATCTCTCCCCATGGCTATGATGGAGGCCTAAAGAGGATACTACGGTTCCAATCACTCTCACGGGTGAACGTAATCCGCCTCCTTTAGTATAATCCATTTTGTTTACGCCTCTGGGATGAGAGAACCTGTTTTTTTTGCCCACTCCGCTGGGAACGATACCACATATCCGGAGTTGTTGTCACGATACACACCTTTAGGGGAGCCTGTCATATCACGACCTTTCTCTTTTTTCATCTTTTTTTCATCATGTAGATTTCTCTTTTGGTGGTTGTGGAGACATAAAAAGAGCGGGTAGAAGTTCCTCTTCACATATTCCAGCTTGGGTTGAGCCCGCTCCCCTCGTCTAGGGAGAAGAGGAGGTATGGGGGATGAGGGTTTAGGGGATAATTACAGATGTATGACTGGTTCGTATTTCCTGGATGGAAAAACACCATTTTTTTGTTCGCAACCGCTTAATAAGGAATCAAATAAATGGATGATGAATGATCACAGCCTCAGTGTCTCTTCTTTCGTGCCACTACTAGTGACCATCCGAGAACATCAGCAATTGACTGCTGACAAGAACCAAAGGGCAACAGGATGAGAGGGGGAAACCAGGCGCGTGAAAGTAGCCGGAGGACAGAGTTCGGGGGGTTCTTTGGCTCGGCTCGTGACTCGTGAGCTCAAGCCGGTTTGATCGACCGTCAGTGGGCCGGATAAGCGCCGATAAAAGCAGAGAGAGACAGAGGAAAGGGTGGTACGGAAGTCGATCAGGTAGCCCGTCTGCCGTGTATCTATTCCCGTCATCCCGGGCATGGGTGCGTCATGCCGTGTCAACTCTTGTAGATTCGACGGCGCTCGCAATGCGAATCTACGGTAGGTTTTTGCCGGGGCAGAGCAGGAGATGAAAAGAGAGAGAGGGGCCTGTATTTTGCGCACGCTGTCGTTTTGCATGCTTGTCAGGGTCTTTGATGTTTTGGTGAGGAAAGGAGTTGAGATTGTCTAGAATTGTTGAGATGAAGTGTGATGGACGGGCGGCGGAACCGTTTGGCTTTGGATTTGGATTGAGGTTAGTCTGGACGTGAGATCGTTGAAGTAAGAGGCTTACAAGTAGACACCACTGTAGGTTTGCTGAGGGTGTCTATAGTCGGTAGGATTGGTGTCGTTCAAGCAAGCGACGGAACTATGACCATCTCGCGGTTCGTCCACGTTTTTACTCCTCGCAACTGACTCTCTTCAAGTATTGATTCGGTTGCAAAAGGTATTTGAGAGCCTCATTTGTTCTGATATTTCTCGCCTCTCCATGCCAACGAATGCAATCTCCGTCGCTTTAACTAAAGTATAAGAAAAGAAAAAAAACACCCCCCATTTATGAGTTTCCGTTTCGCCGTTGATTGATATCTCTTCTTCCCTTTTCTTCGCTCAAAAAAAAAAGGGGGGGGGGGGTAAGGCCAAGAACCGGGAAAATCTTACTTAACCCCTTCCCCCTACGTGTCTTCCTCGAGCGTCCTGTCTGACTGCATCGGGATGTATGCGCTGACTCATCTCACCCCAGTGGACCTCGCCTCATATGAGGTTATCATCGTGGATGAGATTTGACACTGGGCGTGGGACAGGACAAGAGGTCGACAGATCAACTTGGCCCTTTGTTCCCCAACCCCCCCTTTTCACGCGTCTCCTTCTATTTCTTTTTCGACCCTCCAGCTCCCTCCGCTGCCTTCTTGGCCTCAGCTGTAGATGAATCGTCAGCAAATCACATTCAATACGAGCCATTCATTCCCAAGTCTCAGTCAATCCCCATGGCTCCCCTCTCCCCTTTTTGGCATGCAAGCACCACTCGGAATCGACGGTGAGCGAACCCGAGGTACGGTCCAAGAACACATCAAAAGGGAGGAGACAAGGAGACTCAGCCGGTCAGAGATGACACTGAGATCTTATCCCCTCCTCTCCCTCCATCCCTCTGACTCTCTACTCCGAGGAGAAAAGGTGGCCATGGAAGAAGCGACTCGGATTGAAAGAGTACTGACTCACCATTAGCCTGCTTCTGCCGCATAATCTCAGCGGCAGACTCCTTTGCGCGCTGCATCTCAGTGCCGCTCATGCTGTTTCCCTTTTTCTATAAGAAGAATCAAATTCTGTCAGCCATCTTGCTCATCCATTTCCTCATCGATTTCAAAAGAGATATTTGTTGTTCGAATGATCTGCACGATATCCCCTCCCCTTTCTTGCATTTTTGCTGACAGCCCACTGCCCCGCCCCCGCCAAATCGAGTTCCCCCCTTTGTAGGATAAACTCAAGCCTCCCCTTTTCCGTTGCCTGCTCGTACAAAACCCCAACTTCATGGAGTATAGGGGGGCGTCACCGAATAAATCAAGAGCGACCGTGGGCTTGAAAGATGCGCGTGATGGTGGGACAAATCGATAAAGTTACAGAAAAAAAAAATCTCACCTGAGAAGCAGCCTTCTTCTGAGCAGCCTCACGGGCCTTGTCGCGCTGGTTGCCACGGGTCATTTTTTTCGCCGGGGGAGGAGTAAGTGAGTGTATGTACGGGTTTTGGTTTGTGGTATTCGAGGTGCGAGCTCGGGAGACGGTTGCGATGAATCACGCAGACGTGGAGATTTTTTTTTTTTCTTCCGCAGTTAGGGGGGAGTTTACGTGGGTACGAAGTTGAGGTTGTCGGGAGGGAAAAAAGAGGCTGACAACGAAGGTTTAAAGGGAAAAATTGCGGTCTGGGCCGTTTATAATTTTAATTGGTTGCGTGGTTTGCCAGCCGGCCACCGCGAAGTGTTGCCGCCACGCCGCACCAGCACAGCCCCGCCGTCAGCACACCTACCTCTTCACTCCCACTCTGGGCTTTCTGACAGTGAATGGAATGGCACTGTGGGACCAGATGTTCTGGAACTTGCGCCCTGGGGAACGGCCGGCCGTGGCCAATCAGAAGCGGCTGTTTCGACTCTCGGTCGCTTCACATGCTCCATCCCATCGCAGGCCTCCCGTCCTCCATTGTCGCACATCGCGCTTCTAGTGCTGCCCAACCAGCGGCCGCAGAGTACCATTCAACAGGGCATTCACTCAGATGTATGAGCCAAAATTAGCAACACCAGCAACACTTTTTTTATACACACATTCACGAATACACCAAGAAACACCATAAACCTTGAAGTCAAGATTTTTGTCTCGAATTATCTGCCTAGTTACATGCGCGCGGTCGGAGGGTGTCATGGGCATTTGCTGAAAAGCATATGAGCAAATCGAGCCAAAGCCTCACTAGACACGTCTGATTCTCCGCCGGCCAGAAGAAGCAAAAAGTAACGCCCAATTTTCATCCCTAGAGTTCTCTTACACACACAAGAAACCTTTCTCCAATCTCCCCCGGAAGGCCAAATCGAATCTCTCCAGAAACCCCCAAAAATGTGAGAGCCCATGAGCCCTTAATGAATATCCCCGTATTGTCGATGGTATCCTTCCAATTCAGATAAGCCATGAGAGGTCTGGGAGTCATGCTAAGCGGTCCATGTCGAAAGTGCGAAACGATGTACCAACCGCCTGCGAGAAAAGAGAAAAGAAAAAAGAAAGGAAAAACTGCCTCCGATGCTGTCATGTCCCAGTGTTGGCCTCTATGCAATGCGTGCGCAGTCAGGTATCTCCTGTATAATCTTGTCGGACCGTTTCGGGGGAGGCAGAAACGCTCGAGTGGTGGTTCGCAAGGCTAAGGAGGCCCTTAGTACACCTCAAGGCCATCATTCGTAGAGGAAGAAACCAAAATCTTCCCGAAATCGTTGCGCGTCTCATGATCAGCTTCGTGACTGGCGTTTCGTTCAAGGAATTATGCCGATGATGTTGTCGTGAGTCCGGTCCAATCATGATGCCAAGGTCAGTAGTTGACCCTGGCGAACGAGCGTCGAGAATGGAGAAAAGAAAAAGTCGAAAATAGGAAACCGCGATGAAAAACAAAAGAAACTCGAAAAGCAAGGAAAGCATTCTTCTATGTCGATGTTGGGATCGAATCAAGTACAAGCCCTATTGAAGGCTCCGCCCGATCTGGTGACGGCTGCCGAGAAGCAGAATGCGATTCTTATGTCTGCGCTGCAAATGCCGAAGGGTGGGCACTGATGCGCTGCCCGAATCCATAGTGTACACACAAAGCAGGCCTTGCAACCGGATGCAAGGACCGCCGTGCTCGACGGATGAAGAGTTTTGGTGGATTGCGGTGTTGTATGTTGGTTGGATGATGATTTGTGGTAATTGCACAGACAGGGAAAAGGAAAAAGATCGTCAAGTCGTTGCTGCGTAGCCGCCGTGCTGTGTCGAAAGAAAACCGTTACGCGGAAAGCATCATGCCACCATTATGTTCGTTGTCGAATGCCCGGGCCAGATTTCGTACCGCTAGAGATGAATCTCAACGGGCTGAAATGGTCGACAACGCGTCGAATACAATTACAGCCACTGAGACTCGCCCGCAACCGCGTCAGCAGGGACGCCACCATTGGTGCGCTGCTGGCCGTTGAAGCCAAACTGCTGGATGCGCTGGTTCTGGGGAGCGGGGGGCGGAACAGTGATGTTGTTGGTCGTGGGGTAGTTGGCCTGGTTGCCGCGAGGAGCCATGCCACCACCGTTGAGACCACCGTTCAGACCGTTGCCAAAAGCACCGCTAGGAGGGATGATAGAGGTGTTGTTAGACATGGCGCGGTTGTGGCCGGGGCGCAGGGGAATCTGGCCCTGAGTGGGGTCCGCGGGAGTAACCTGACCGCTCGAGGTGGCACTACCACGGCCCTCAAAGGCCTGGATCTTGGCCTGGATGCGACGACCATAGGGAGTGGACCGGATGGAAGGCAAGATGGGGCGGATAGCATCGACCAGGCGGTACTTGCTCGCAGGAGGAGCGTACTCGAGAGCGGTCTGGATGACGTAGTTGGCATACGAGTCGCGGAGGAGTCTCTCAATCTCGCCGGGGTTCAGGAGCTCGTCAACAATCATCTCGCGGGAGGGCTCCTGAGAGCAGCGAAGGCACTTCTCGATGACGTTGGAGCTGAACTTGTGGCGGGACAGCTG